TGAATGTGAGACATAGAGAAGTGCAATAACAGAAACAGCTGATCAGTTGTCAGCTTTACTGAGTAATCCTCATATAGACAAATGCTAGGATATCATGTCTCTACCTTGAAACTGATCAACAAGCTGTTGTACTTTCTGCTTTTGCAAGTTTTGTGTATCTCCGCTGATAAGCCTTTGATTCTGCCACTCTTTGGTAGAAGATGTGCAGAGTGTCTTAATTTTATTGAGCAACCTGAAAAATTGCATAAGACATAGGAGGGAAAGAATTAGAGCTGGTCAGCAAAACATGCCAAGTATAAAGTAGAACTGACATGGACAGACAAAAAAACATGGGTATTCATACAGACGAGGGTGGTGTGGAAGGTGGCTTGGTGGTATGGGAAACAGGTGAATCTGAATAGCTAAATAACTAAACAAGTTCTTGATGTTGGGGGACTTAGTGGCTGTGAGCAGAGGAAGGAAAATGACCTGGAAAAACTAGCATCTTAGTTGCAACAACACATGGCCAACATAATCCTCGTAATGTAAAACTAAAAAGTAAAGAATGGTATACCAAAAAAAAAGAAAAATTGAAATGAATGAATAAAACATGTCCAAAGAGAAAAAAATTACTAAAATACAAAATTAACACAACATGGGACCTATCCCCTAACTGGTTCACAACAAGCATTCTTTTATTAAAAAGCTAAGTCAGAGAATCTTCTAAACTGCAGTTCTTGTTGTGTGTTTCAGGTATAAAATGATGCAAAGGGTGTTAATGGTTCACTAATACCTTAGGGAACAACAGCTGGCTTGTGTGTTCTGATCCAACATGGCTAATATTGCTGAAGATGTTAACCCTGTTTCTATAACACTTCAGACAAGTCAGCTTACTTATGCTAATTATCCTTGTGCCTCAATAGAAGGTGCAAATGGAAGGTGTATAGATGCCTTAAGCCCTACTCTGCTGGAAGACTTGGGAAATGCCACCTATATGGCTGTTGCTCTAACATCTACCAACAATGCAAGGATTGGCTGAGACGTGCACAAGTACGTCCTTGGTGGTTATGTTCCCTTTGAGAAGGATAATGGACCCTGGAGCAAAGCAAATCCTTTCAGCAATGATGTGAGGAGGACAACATGATGTTTTTGATATCATCCAATTGAGCACAAACCGCACAAACAAGTCTGATTAATTGAGAGTCCACCTTGCAACTTAAAGGAACACTTAAGTTGGCCCAAAGCCAAAGTTACACCAACACCAATAATCACATTTTTAAACTTATCAGCTGGCTCTCAGCTGTGCTTTCTTTGGTCTATGTTTAATTTGATGCATAGGATAGCAAACAATACATTGGCATATTTATGTCATTTAACCAGATGGAAAGATTGAAAGTGTCTTTGATTGAAAAAAAATGTAACATCAATTTTAAGCATATCAATCATGCAGCATTGTTAAAAGCTTTCTGTATACAGACTTGAAACAAACAAATTTGGTCATTTTAACGAAAAAAGTTAATTTATTTTCCTTATTTTTCCTACTGCCTTGCAAGTTTACAATAGTATAATTATATTTAAGGAGAAAACAATTTTTGCTTTAGTGAAACTATGGGGGGAAAAATGTCTTTTTTCCTGACCAGCATATTTTCACAGCCTCATTCATCTCATTATAGCCCTCTTCTTTTACTTTTTCACAAGTTGGATTCCATTTGCAGACAAACCTGGTCAAGGCAAAGGTGAAAGCATGCTGCCAAAGGCCATCTCCGACCCTCGACTGTCAGCTTGGCTTTTCATTAGCTCTCTGCCATTTCGTGTGAGATGTCAGGGTCTTCATAACAGTAGGACGTGACTCAGTTCAGATGGATGCCAAGAAATTTCTGAACAGAACAAGCCCTCATGTTAACCTGGCTCTTTTAACAGGTAAAATCAAGTTTAGATAAAAATAGAGGTAAAAGAAGAAGTACAAAGGCTTCTGTGGTGAAACAGGTGCAATCAAAGTGCTTCCTAGTCAATACACAGAGAGGGACCATTTAAAAACATCAGGGGGCTGGACTTAAAGGGTGGCATTAGACTTTGAATGGAGAAGGATCTAATACATGGATGGTCCTCTTCCTCAAGCAGCCCATTGACTCCAAACTGAGCCTATTAGCAAGACAACACACCACTAATGGCAGTGTTACTGCTGCCGCTGCCCCTCCATGTGCACGGAGACCACCCAGCATACACACACACTAAACACACTCACTTTCCCTTTTTTTCCTTTCCCACGCTATCGTTACATATCATAGAGGGAATCCACATCAAAGTGTTACTTCCATTAGAAAACATAACAGTGTGTTCTTGTGGTTCTGTGCAAGGATCTAGTTGTGAAGACTTAAGATAAATGGGTACTACAGCAGCTGTCAATATGCACTTTTAGGTACCAGGTTAGAGCTGGAAAAGGAGGTCTCACATTTCCTGGTAAAAGGTGGTTTATGGTTTTAAGGAGATGTTGCTGGGTTTTAGTGAGGTTTCCATTATAGGTTATCAGTAGCTTATATTTTACCTGCACTCTTTTAAATGTAATATAAATCCAGATTACCCACTCAACAATAGAGCCGAGGTCAAAGCAAAGCAAGAACTCTTTTAGATATAGAAGAATGTTAGATCCATATGGAAGTCGAAAAAACTGCCTGGTCTAAAGTAATACACGCCTAAACAGAGATTAAAAATTGTAATATCTATATAAACAATTCAGTAAATTATACAAAAGTGTCAGAATGCATAAGCTGAAACTCAAATTTAGCTTCTAATTTACTACTATGGCATCATTATAAGGACATCAGTTTGCAGAAAAACACTTTTATAATTATGTTCAGATTATATAGGGCTAGTGGTATTGGATTGGAGGATTAAAATAAAGCACATTTAAGTTATTTGATCTTTTTAAACCACAAAATACTATTATAAACAACATCAAAAACAATATCAAAGTTCTGCTTGTTGTCAAAGTAAAATTGTCACTGGTTTAACAATCAGAATTTCCAATAAGAACCATTACATAGTTCTACAGTTCCAGCACTTCTGTTGATGGGTTGCTTATAGCGGAGACATGACACAGAGATGAAAGATCATTTTAGAGGAGGACTTGAGTTAATTTGAAGTTGTGAAAAAACAAACAGACAATAGCCCTGGACTTCTTCAATGTTTGCATTCTTCAGCGTGCCATACTATTACTCACCTGGTGAAGTTCTTTGTCATTCAGAATCATTCAGAGTTGGAGACAAGCTTGATGTAATTTTATAATCTTTGTCAGTGCCAGTCCACAAAGTTCTCTATTAATACTTATTATACAATTCTAAAATCACCAAAAAATATTTTTATGGGCCAAGTTTATTACAGCTATACTTGCTATTAAAGGTTACAACCTTATTTGATCAACCACCAGGAAATAAAATGTTGTAATAAATGCACATAAATGCTATGACATTTTTAAGATTTGAGTTGTTTTAAGAAAATTTGTCGTCTTCTATACACTCGGTGTATGCAAAATGACACTAAACATAGTCTGTCTCTAAGTCTAAAATAGGACTCTGCTTTCATATTGGTGTCTCTTCGACGAGACGTTATATTTAGCCTTAAAGACCAGCTGAAGCATATGTGAAATGTAGATGTCAGATAAATTTTTACTGTAGACAAACATTTATCTGCATCTAACATTTTAAAAAGAACCTTAGGTCAAATGAAAAGAAAACCATCCCCGAACCACCCCTTTAAATATTGATACTCAGACCAAAAGTTTTGAGAGTTTTGGGAAATAGACTTCCTGTATTCATTTTAGGGCCATGAGATCCAACAGGAAAATGCACCTTCAAATTGAACCTAATGAGGTTATATTTTTCACATAATAATACTGATAGTACTGCTGTTGTTATAAAAATGTTCCTTAGTCATATATATTGTGTTGATTCTATTTCAGAATATTACTTTGTTGAATTAATATGTATCCTAGTGGGAAGAAATACATTAATTCTAAAAAGTAGTTCAGAAGGAAAAAGAAGCTCTGTTCTGAAAATGAAAAATGTTGAATTCCACATGTGACCAGCAGGGGGATGGAGTACAGAAAGAACATAAAAGCTTCTATCTTTTAAGCCTCACATTTTCTTCATTGTATCATTTAATACTATTTCTCATTTCCTTCAGTCGAATAAACTTTTAGACCCAGTATTTGTTTTATTCACTTTTATACATCTGACCATAGTAGTCTTAGGAATATTTTTCTTTTTGAGTTTTAAAGCACATAAACAAGAAATTTCTCTATAAATTAAATTGAGAAACAGAAAAAAATAATCCTGTTTATTGGTGTATAACTTAGTTGCAACCTTATTCTGTGGTGTTATGCTTATTTACAATTTCTGGCATCCAATATGTAAAATAAGTATCTGATTTCAACATAACATAAAATTAAAGGTTTTGATAAGTCTGTTTTATCTCTGTCAGACCTGCAACCCAACACCACTTTAGTGAACTCTGACTCTTTCTCACTAACTTCAGTCTCTAGTGCGCACTTTCTAAGAGTGTCTGCTAGTCCACTTCTTTTTGTTAAGAGCTGGACTTCATTGGCTTTATGGCAAGTAGCAGTCTCTCCAGCGAATGAAAGAGAAAAACGGGGGGAGATGGAGGGAGAGAAAGAGAGGAGGTTGGGGGGATAATTCATTCACTTTGCCCACAAAGCGCAGTAGAAATCACCCAGGGGAACGAAACGCCAGACAGAAAAGGAGCCGGGGGGGAGAGAAAGCACCCATTTACAGTCCGCAAACGATATAAAATGAACACTTTTTATGTTTCTTTTATTTAAAATGCAACTCAAGTCCTTTTAGATTTGTCGCGTTTAATGTTGTAAATGTGAGAAACAAATGGTGTTTTGATCCGTTAAGCTTTGGGGAATTAGGATACTTTAAATTAGTCTGAAGAAGATAAAAAGAAAATACTTGGATGGAAACAAAAACCTTAGAACATTTTTTCTTGTTTTGCTTTTTGAGGTTTTCCTTGTGAGTGCGTCTATAAGGTACTGAGCGACCCGAGCGCTGCGCGGCAGCACTGCACCTCGGTGCGCCCTGGACCCCCGGTCCCCCCCCCTCCCTCCGTTCCTCCTCATCCACCCCCACGCTCTCTGCTCAGCTCCAGCCTCACACACGTCGCTGTTGAGGACTATGACCCCCCCCACCCCCCGCACCGCCACCCTCCCCTCACACCACTGCCTGCCACCATCTCTGCGATCCTGCGCTCTCTCTCGCCGGCTCCGCCGCTCCTTCCTCACTGATTGTCCCTCTCGGTGCGCGATAGTGCCACTGATACCCACTTTACAGCGTGTCTGTGGAAAGTCAGCCTCTCTCTCTAAGTCTGTGCGTCCCTTGCTCACCCTTGTCCTCCTCTCTGGTTGCGCTGTGGCAAACTAACAAACAGAGGAGGTGTTAACTACTTTTTTTTTTGTTGCTTTTCCTTTTACGCGCCCTCCCGTTATCTCCCGGTTGCTGCCGCGCATTCGCGAAAAAGGGCCGGTGCCGCACTGATGATACTACTCCGCAGAAAAGTTTTCGGTTGTTGTGAGGATAAAAAAGAAAGAAGAAAAAGCCGGAAACCAAGCAGCCGTCTGCAATAGAAGCGGATTCTCGCCACGGAGAGGTGAGTTTACTCCTGTCTGTTTGTTGTTGTTTGGTTTGAAGCACAAACACCTTCCGCTTTTACGCTTTTTTTTCACGTTCTGCCGCAGCTTTCTGATTTCTTTAGAGGCGCTTCTAACTTTCTTTCGCGGTTGCGCAAAAAGTATGTAAAAATGTCACGACATGTGTTTTTGGCCACATAAGCGCGTGCGTTCAAATCTGTTTATGTTTTCTTCATTTAGCCGCGCGTGCAAGCGTGAAATCGTGTATGCCCTGGGTTCCTCCAACAAGAAAGTGGCATCTTGATTTGTTGTGGTGCTGACTTCGATGCCATTACGCACAGGTTACTGTCACCAAAGTGCATGGCATCCCTTCACAGGGTGCAGCTTATGCTCTTTAACTTTTTGGGGAGAATTCGTAATAATGAGTCATTATGAAAGTGTACTGAAAAAGATTTTTGTTATCACCCATTGATCTCTGTGCATCAGTAGAACCTAGAAAATCAAACTTTATCCTTCAGTTTTTATCAGGACCACCCAGCTGAACCGCAGTGATCATCCGGACAGGCCTGCTTCTGGATATGTTCAGTAAAAATTAAAGAACATGAACCCGGCAGCTCTCTTTACGCAGAATTAACAGGATGTGTTAGTTGCATTGACTTTAGGGTAGTAAAGCAGCCATAATAAGAAGCGCATGTGGAGTTAGGAGCCATATACTGACCTCGTTATTGCTGAGGTTGAATAAAGATTGTAATGAGTCAGATTTTCATAGAAGAAGTCGATGTATAACTTTTCTCTCTAATTACAGAAATAGCTTTTTATTCTGATTATCAATTTGTTTTGGCCTTGTTCATATAATTAAAATATAAGAAAAAAAGTGATATATGAATAAAATTGAAGGCATACATTTTAACGTCAAAATGTAGCATTTTTGTGCAAAGTTAATGTCTCAGGGAGAAGCAGACGGCTTGCATTGATGATGCACGTGCACATAAATGTGTGCACGCACGCAAACACGCTTTTGAGGGATAAAGCAGTTGGGAAACACCTGTTAACTGGGTAGAGGATATAATTTACATCACCATCGCCCTCCCACCCCCTCACCCATTGCAACCCTCCGAAGACCCCTGAGGGGTTACCTCTAGTTTGACGGCCGGGCAAAGGGAGTCTGGATAGGGAGCGAGCGCTGCTGCTCCCGCGGGTTGCTCAGCGTTCTAATTTGAGGTGAGGGAAGAGAGAGAAAAGGAGAAATAAAAGAAAACACGGCTGAGATATGTTTATGTTTAACTCCAGGGTAACATAAAAAATAAATAAATAAATAAAATACAACTAAAATAACTTTGGCTTCCGAAATGAAACCTTGTAGACTTTTCCCCTTCATCTTCAGTGGATGATTTTGTTCTTGACCCGTATGTTTTTCCAGAACTGACTCCAACCCGCGTAACGGACTCGCACACGCCCGATCCAATCTGCGCGCAGTGGCACAACATTCAGAAGAGGAAAGAATCATAATAAAATTAGAACACTGTGCTCAAAGTACGGCAGAGTTATTAGTAGTAATTTCCGACTTGCTGCCAACAATAAACGGTGCGTAAAAAAGGCACTTGACGGAGCAAAGGTGCGCCCGGGGCGGGTCACCGATGATTGAGTTAAAGCTTCTCCAAAAACAGGAACTCGGAGACTTTAAGTTCGGGTCCGGGACTATATGGTCTTAAACCTCCACAACAAATCCGTTCTGTTTCATTCCACTGATCTGATTAATCAGCTTTGACTTATTTCGATCGGTAGGGCGTTTTATATATTTTTTCACTGAACATATTAGATAGTTTTAATTATGTTAAAATGTGAGGTTGACGCAGAACCTGTTGGAGCAGTGCGGATAAATCATTAGATAAAGTGACGCGCATAAAAGTTATTCATTGATTTTAAAGTTATGTTTTAATTATTATATTTAAATAAGAATACAGAATTATGTAAGCAATTTTTACTTTTATGTGAGTTATTCGCGTTTGAATCACAGGCCTCCATGGACGGAGCTATACAGTTTACTCACAAATATATTTAAATATAAAAAACAAAATCATTAAAGAGTTAAATCTTTTTCATAAAATGATTTCTCAATATTTATCCTCTCAAAACTCTTTTAAAGAATATATGTTAATTCATAATTATGAATAAATTTCATTTATTGTAGAATTATAAAACTGTAATATTAAAAATAACAATAACATTTATAATTAAAAGGATTTGTTGTTTATTTTTCAAATTATGTTTAAATCAAATGGCAGTTTTAATTCGGACTAAACTGTATCCTATTTAATATTTAAACTAATTGTTAATTAATAGTCCAAAATATTTTGACTCACTTAAATTCATGTGACCTCGTCTCTTTTAAAATTGTTGCTTTTATTATTATAATGAGTGTTTTATAACTGCTCACCCATTTACTGCATGAGTCTGTTTTATTAGGACAATTTTGATTATCTTGCTTTCAATTAAATCAATAAATCAATAATATTTTGCAAGTGGATTCATAGCTCTATAGAGTTGTTATTTAGAAACTTACAAAACGAAGAAAGTATTTTTTATTTAATTTTTTTGTTTAGGTGAAAGGGCCTAACTTGGACGTTTAAACTTCCTCTCCCCGTGTCGCTTTTTATTCAAAGATTCCTCTTTTTTCCTCCAGGAATAAATTTTGTATTTTTCTTTACCTTATCTCTCGTCCCAAAGGCATAATATATAACCGTAAAAAAAGAGAGGAACGAAAGTGTCGATGTTTGAGGAAAAGTAGTAGAAGATGATTTATCTGTCAGCGTTTTTCTCCTTCAGCGGCACCCGGTTTTCTCCCACTTCTCTCCCCGCAGTCAGCTGTTATTGCTCGCCATTGATCTCCCCTTTGCTCGCTCTCCTCTCTGCGCGGCGACAAGTGAACTAAAATTAATGTCTATTTCACACCCCTCTGCTACGGAATCGATGCGCGCAGGGAGAGAAGTTTATTTGAATTTGGATGTGAGGAAGAACAAAAAAAAATAAGAAAAAAAAAGAAAAAATCCCTCTGCGTGTTTAATTGCCAAATGGACAACTTTAGTTAAGTAAACGTGGAAAATCAAAATACATAATTTTTTTTATTTTGTTTTTCTGTTGTGTTTGGCACAAATACAGCAGCGGCAAGGCCTGCATTTCTCTCAATTTCTCTACTTTTCTTGAAGTAATAAATGTAATACTCATTTCAATTTTGGGTGCTTTACTTATCCGATTTCGTTTCTTTTTATCTAAAAAGTTGTTTCATTAAAAGCCACAAAGCTCATTTAAATAAAACAGACGATAATTACTGCTAAATGCATTGAAGGTCTCCCTTTTCCCCCCCCATATGGAAATATTAATGCGTCGTGACGCACAGATTATCCCCCCCCCCTTCTGCGTCCCATAAGATGACGCCGATAGTAAATTACCCTCGAGCCGCTCCGTCGCGACTGCTTTGATGACCCCCTTCAGTCTATTAAGTCCTATCAATATGTACTAAATCCTAATTCTTCATTAAAAGCAAAACTAACTCCTTCTTTGCTTCTTGAAACACCCACGCCCTCATACCACTGCTGTGTTATTATGCATTTTTTTGTTGCGCCAATAACAGACCTTATTTTGCATGCAGAGATGTATTGTAAATAAACGCATCGTTGGAAAATACCAAATTATTGACACTGTGTGAGGAGGAGAAAAAGTGCGCAGGGCGCGCTTTGCGTCTCCAAACTTTGCCTTATTGTTATCTTAGAATAGAGACAATCATTATGTTTAAATGCGCGGTCGGATGCAGTCATATACTGTCTGACTTTTCAAATAAAAGAAAAGCTTACTTCTTTTGTTTTTATTTTTGTTTGTTTTTCTGTTTTTTTTAAAGCGACTATAAAAATGACAGCCTTTCCGCTGCACAGATTGAGTTTTGGACACAATTTGATCATTATGATTGATTTATTTAATGTTCTGTGTTTGAACTCGTTTAGGAAAGTTGTATTTGACATTTCTCACTGACATGGCGTTTCTGTCTAATATATCATTCTGTTCTGCTGCTTTTTTTTTTTCTTGGGTACAAATCTGTTTTGGAATGACTAAGTGAGATTTGTATTTCAGTGGCTGTACACAGTGAGGTTGGGGAATGTCCAATCCTTTAATTTGCTGGCAGCCCTATGGCCTCCAGAGGCACTTAGCCTGTCCTTACATCTCAAAATTGAGAATTTAAAGGATATTAGATGGTTTAAAAAGTATGATGGTGCACTGGACCTTCATTTCGATTTCTGCCTCAACAACAAATTCCTGAAATTTTGCTTTTACTTTTGGTGTGCTGTCCAGGGTAATTTTTGTAGGCCCCGGGCTAGAGCCAGTTTGTGTGCCTTATCAACACATGTTTATTTTACTCTTCTAAATTACAAAAAAAAATTACAAATCAACTTTATGTGCGCTTATGATTTAACCACAATCTGTATCAATATTGTGTCTTCTATGCTTTTCAAAAGATTTTTTCATTATAAACATGCAGAAAAATTTACTCTAACACAGTAACTGGACAGGTGCATTTAGTTAAAGCCTGTTGTCATGACATCTCGGGTCATTTATATCAATTAGTTTGCATTTGGTTTTCTTCATGACAATTCAACAAAATAAATTGCGTATACAAAACTTCCAATCATAAATCTTAATGCCTCAGGATATTCCCACAGTAAGCCTCTTTATTTTTTTGTGATTGTTTGTTTTCCTCAAGTTTTGCCAATGTTTAATAGCTATAAATTATTCCTTTGCTTTGCTTCCTCACACCCGTTTATGAATGACTCCTTCTAAAATCTATTTCCCTGCCATTTTGTAGAAAATACTTCTATTTCCTTTGTTAATGGAATTATCTTGGCAAAATGATTTCCTCAGCTCTGAGTTATATCCCTCTTCCCTGCAAATATGAATACAGACACAATTATTTCTGTTATTGATGACAGGAAAGTGGAGTAGCTTCCATCCAGTCATTTTCTATTGGAGG